AAAGTCCACACAAAATCTAAACTCTACAAATCCCAAATTCCAGCATATTTAAAATTGAAATCAATCCATCAATGCTTAAAGTAAAATTCATCCACCCTCCGCAACAGTTTGTCGGGGTGGACAAATTAAAATCAACTTCAGCTCACAAAGAGCCAAATGCCTAGTCGAAAATATCACTAGGATCCATTCTCAAACAATCTCTTGCCAGTAAGGACGTGGTACGTGTCCTCTAACCGGCAGTTTCGCCGCCAAATGGCACTGCAGGTAAACGGTTATGACCCGGGGCCCTCTGAACCGAGTGGTTTTCCAAATATCCAATTTCCAAATCCAATTTCTATCAGTATCCAATCTATTGCTGCTCTATATGCCATATAACACGTATTCTCTACGTATCTGATCGACGACTAGCCTTAATCGAAAGTTCTCTCTCGTGATCGGGAGGGGTAATTAACTATAGGGGCTTGCGCCTATAGGAAACCAGAACTCAGATCATAAAGTCCTCGCAAAATGAGGGCGAAATCTCTGGGTAGTGTCTTATCTACAAACCCATCTGCCTTCCAAAATTTACCCTGGAACTTAGTTCGTTAAAACTCCCCTCGCTCAAACAAAAGGAAACCCCGGGGCCGAATTTTCGGAGCCCACAAACTCATATCTTTTTTGTTGAAACATCGGGGAGTCAAGAGCTGATTAAGAGGCATCGAAGAAGTATGCTTTTCTTTTGTGTGGATTTCCTACTGACCATCTTTCTTAGTTTTTAATCAATGGATGAATGTCATTTGTTTTAAACGCTCAACTATTATTTCACCCATAATATGTGATCCATATTAAAAATTCGAGGACATCCTAATAGGTTGCCAATGTTATTCATATGTGGAATATCACTCCAAATGTGGTCAAATAGTTGGCCTAATTAGATGGGAGAGAAGACATTTTTTTTTCTTGGAATGGAGTCTCATTAACTCAAGCATGCTTACATAATTAGTCTTGTGGTTTAGTTGTCAGTCATGGACATGATAAGTAGATCAATTCTATCTTTTTTTCTTGTTGAAGAGATAATCAAATTTCTGCCCTAATATTTGGATTCTTGCATTTTTCTATTGCCTACTTGCTATTTTTACTTCTTAGACGCATCAGTCTTCATCACTCGAACAGGGCTTGTGGTATTCAAGATCATTATAAGGAGGGTTGGTGTGTTTAGTTTTTAATTTTAATTACCTAGGAATAGGGCATGGTGGACACTTGTGAAATAAATGCCTTAACTTATGACACTATGCAATTAAAGGAGCTTACTTGTGTCTACTTATGAGCTAAAGGGGCTAGAGGTTCTTTCTTTTGTGGTCTTTGAACCAACTATGATTGATTTCTGTTTTGTTTAGATTAAAGGTTGGGTTTGTGACCTGCATGAAGGAAGGCACCAAATGTGCCGAGCCATGGTGGATTGTCTAAGTTTTATTTACCCATCATTTGCTTGTGCTTTGGTATTTCTTTTCTCTAAGGGCATGATAATAGACATCATTAAAGGTGGTGCTTTATATGGATCAATTCATGTGACCATGAGTGAATTTAGTTAATAACAAAAGAGTGATTTTGTTATTAGATTCATAGAGAAGGTAATGAGTGATAAAGTCTTCAAAAGGTAATCAATAGTAAAAGATCACATTATTGCAGATTTTGACTAGGCAACAAATATGCTCTCTATGATATTGGAGAATACAATTTTTGATGAAGACGCTGATGAATGAGAACTCAAATGCTAATAGATGGCTCAAGCAAATTACCAAGCTTATTTTCCATGCTTCTCCAGAAGCATTTGGCAAGTATTGCAAGTTTAATAGAGAGCTGGTTCTACTTTGCATTATTCCTATGGTACTAGTTGTAAGTCTCTTAGACTTAGGCTAGCTATTCAATGAAAATATTTGTATCATGACGGTCATTGAAGAGAGATAATCTAACTTGATTTTAGATGTGGGGTTATGTAAGTGATTACAACAACCTCTCGGTTTCTGACTATGGTATGTCACGATAATGAGGATAAAAATTTGCATCATACGTAGGTAGTCATGTAGTTGATGAGGTCGATGCTCATCATCATGATGAGGTTCATGAGTATGTGAAGCTTGTCATGGAGGATTAAGATGGTAGTAGTGTTGTTGTGATGGAGGTTGTCCTCACAACAATGTTTGATGTATATATTAGATTGGCATGAAAAAGAGTGTCTATTAGTCATTTAGGAGATCATATTTTGATGGATTTTGTTTTGTTTGAAATGTCCTGTGGGTATTTTTGCATTAGTGTTGGTGTCTAAAAAACTAATACCATTCTCTCAATTATGTGGTTCATAGTTTGAGTGAAAGAGGAAGATTTTTATGGATTATGCCAACATTAGCAGTGAAGTGGAGGAGTTGGTCTTCATTAAATAAAGCTTTTGATTCACACACGAACGAGCAGGTTCTTTGGATGCATATTGTTTTTCCATGCGAAGAATGTTCTATTCAAGTTCCTCTTTAAGATATTTTATGATAAGTTCGGGCATGTGGAGTGGATCGGGGATGAGTCTGGTGGGGTGGGGTGTAGACCTGTCAATATTGGACCCGACCCGAAATCCCGACCCGAACCCGACCCGGAATTTTCGGGTTTGGGTTGACCCGAACCCGAAGCGGGTCGGGTTCGGGTCCAGAAAATTGACCCGTTTGCAAACCGGGTCGGGTCAACCCGAACCCGAATAATACCGGGTCAGTTTCGGGTTCGGGTCAACCCGACCCGTAACCCGAAATTGACAGGTCTAGTGGGGTGGGAAGGCACTCCCACAGGAATGAAAAAAGTATAAGATAAACATGAAAGCCCATACAAAGATCACATACTTCAAAAAGTGAAGTCCTTATAAGCTATCATATTTTTTATGAAAATCTGTGAGATAAAAATGATAAATACATTTTAGTTTATGTAAATATCAAAAAGATGCAAAAGTTTTTAGAATAATAGGAATTGAAGTTGCAGCATGGTTTTGGTTTGTGCAATTTATGGTATGTACATGATTGTTCCTAAGAACAAGTATAAGTTCATCCTTGGAGCGACAATGATAATGCCAGAGAGGATAGCATCTCATCTGATGTAAAAGTGGCAAAGTAGTGGCATAGGAAGGTGCAACTTGGTGTGTTTGCAAGTCACATTGGGCAGGTTGAGGTTGCAGACTGAAGCGTAATGTTCGAAGCGACATGAGCGGAAAAGATTGATTTATGGGGGTAAACTCAGTTGTGATGGTCTGCATGATGTGTGTGCTGTGGAATGACAATGAAAATGGAGACAGGGAAACTATGAAGTTTGCAAGCCTCAAGATTGTGAGCGGGATTGGATTGACTCATGGTCGGAGCAATGTAGAATTGCAAAGAAAAATCAAGGGTTGAAATATGGAGCGGGGCCTAGCTATTTGGATAGTGCACAATTAGAGGAGATGCAAAGGGGCAATGATACTACATACGAAGGGTACTGGTGGCACGGGGGGTGGGAAGTAGGGTTGCATGCAGGTGTCATAATGTGAGGTGGAATATATGTTTACGAATGTGTGCAAACTCGAACAGCTTGGCTTTTAATCGGAAATAGATGTAGCCATGAGATTATGATTGGTAGTCTTGATCGGCAAGACACTGATACCACCTAATGCATCTAAAATGAAGAGAAAAGGTTAAGATCTGAATTCACCTGGTAGAAGTGAAGAAAAGCTAGAGAAAGAGATTGGCATGGCAACTATAATTTCTTTAATATTCATATGATGCTTTTTAGAGTACAAAGCCCTCATTCAAGGTGTCTTCTCCATCGATAAAGGAGAAATAAAGAAGGAATTAATAAACGGAAAATTTTGAGAAATATTTTGGGATCTTTCATAATTAACAACTAAATTATAAAAAATCCACTAAATATGAAATTTTCTTTATTACAGAATAACTTAAATCAGGCAGCAATTTAGTGGCCATTTTGGTGATGTTGGATATCTTTGACGTGGCACTATACACTGATGGTGGGTTATTTCATCAGGCAGGTTATTCCCTCCGTATTTCTTTTTATCTTGTTAACTTACTGATCTTCGCAATGAAAAAAAAAAAGATCAAAAGTGGTGTGGAGGAGGATAAGGAAACCTGCTTGATTTGTTTGTTGGTAGCCTCTTATGTAGTCCTTTGATGTAAATTGTTGTACTACCATGCAAATTTGCAATCTGACTTAGCATTGCGCTATCTTCTTTGCTAGCCTTGCTGAGCCATGTTGTAGGCTCTTCTGGATCAAATTTCTTAAAAATAAATATGCAAGCTGCGTATCTTCTATGTTAGCATGAAAATGAAGTTTTAATGTTCAGTGATTCAATAACTTGTTAGATTGATAGCACGAAATTTTTTGCTATTATGTCGCTGCATTAAGCAGGCAGCACCCTGCTGTTTGTTCATTAATGTTATAGTATTATTGGAAAAAAATTGTTAGAAAGAACACATATTCTCTAATTTATTGGTTATTATTTTTTTGATGGTCTTACAAAAGTTGACTTATTCTACAATGGATAAATCAACATATTGACTCTTTCCTGCATGAATAAGTTTTTAGCAAGTCCTGCTTCATATGCTTAAAACATTTTTGAGCTCAGATGGCTTCAGCTTCCGCTTCTAAATCTAGTAAATGTAATGTTATGAATTTTCTGTGTGAACAAATTCTTGCTGTATAATCTACTATCTATGCTATATCCACTGTGAGAGCTCATGATAAATCCAATAAATATAGAGATATGCATATGAAAAACTCTAAATGATTCAGTACATTTATGATTGCTTTTTAAGTTTCATAGAGTTTCCATGGTTATGATAATATTTTTGCACCACAACTATTCATATGACATGATTCTTGAGATCTATTTGCCAAATTTCCCTACTTTAATTCTTTATGAATTTTTTCAGCAGAAATACCAAGATTGTGATTCATGATTTTTTTTCCGTTTACCTGAAAATTTTAAAATGTGTGTATTATGTATTAAAAAAATAAAATTATAAATTTATTCCAAAATTCTTTCAGGCCAGCCAAAGTAAAATATCGGAAGAAGAGTTAATTAATCGTCTCATGGGTTTTCTTGGCCACATGGTACAGAGGAAGACATTGAAGGTAATATTTTGCAAATTTGCTTTCTATTTTAGCATGCGCTCTCTTAGTTTTGTTTCTCATTCCGTCGAAGTTTTTTTTCTGGGTTTTATTGGTACTCATAAATATGTTCTTATTGATAAAATAGATCTACTTCATTAGTATTTCCACGTTGTGCTTATGGAAATTTTTTTTTCCTGGTGCATATTTTTAGATTTAAATGAGAATTTGACTCTTAATAGGACACAATGGAGAAAAATATTCATGTAGCCGACCCACAGTGGGATAAAGACTTGATGTTGTTGTTGTTATATGTTTTGGCTAGATCATGATTGCAAGTTTCTTTAATGCATATATGCCTCTTTTAATGCACCAATTTCTTCAATTAAACTGAATTGTTGACTTGTGGCCTTCAAGCGCAAGGCTGTACTTATGCCACCATAGCTTATCTGATCGAGCAAATTTTATCTTTGGTGTTCTATAGCACTTATTCTTTGTGAGCATTGGTTCTATTTATTTTATTTTCTATTCTAGAACAAGAAAGTAACTCCATGGGTGATAAAACAATTGTTTTGTATAATTATTTAGAATTATATATTATATAATAATTTTATCTTTGGTGTTCAATTTGATTATTTATATTAATTAGATATATAATATATTAATTCAATAACTTTGGATTATAAGATACGATAAGCGGCCTCATTTTGAAATTGTCTTTGGCATTATTTAAGACTTCAATTATGGAAGGCATTATTTTCTTTGAACATAAATTTAATTTAAACCTTGTTTATTTGAGAAGAAGAAAACATGATACATATATTATATTATATTTATATATTAGATAGATTTGATGGATGTAATTTTACGTTTTTTTTCATGTTAAATTTAAATAAAAATATTTTCATTAATTTAAGAAAATCTTAATTTATTAGGAGTCCTTCAGTTTTAAATGAACCTTCTTTGTTATTTTGGAATTTTTGAGACAACTTTCTCTCTCATTGTGGTCTAACAATATTTGATAGATCAACCTACATTTGGTTAATGCTATTTGATATTTTTTAGATAATTTTTAAATGAAAGATTTTCATTTTAATTTTCATTTTAGAAATAAAAAATTAAATAAAAATTTTTTAGAGTCTTTATTTTGAAATGAGGCTCTCTTGCTGTTTTTAAGTTTTCAACGGAGATTTCTCTTATTGTGTCTTAATAATATGCAAATAGATGAGCGACATAATATAGGATAATTAAGGTTTTCCTAATGTAATTAGAATATTTTGATGCATAAAGATCACAAGAGGGAAAGATTTTATTATCACAAATCACCAAAAATGCCAATTTGATTATTTAAATGCTTAAAGAAAAGAATTTGAGGCCAATTAATAATGCAATAATCAAATAAATCCAATCAAGGAGAAATTCAAACAAATAAAATCAACTAGTTTGGTAATCTAATAACCATAATCAGAATCCTAGTTGTGCCAAAGTTAAATAAAATCACGAGCACTAACAAACGAGCAATCAAATATTAGGAGAAATTAGTTAAATGTAGAAACTTAGGAAATTAAGAAAATCAAACCTCATGTTATTATAAGATAACTTCTCCCAAAATTAGATAGTCACTTTTATAGCATACTTGAAGGAATCATACATCTAATTTGAACACAAAATAAAAAATTGGAAGACTAAAGTTTTATTGATTTAAGTTTTATTTATTACATGCCTCAAATCTTCTATTTATGAACTCATATTATCTTGATTAATAGATTTGATTAGCATAAGTCAGTTTAGTTGGCTAGAGATAAAATATCTCAAGGTTCAAATATGAATAATTATAAAAAATATCTAAAGCTCGATTCTATTTGAAAATTTAGATTCCGTAGTGAAATTTGATGATTCAACAGAGACAATAAATCTGATGGTGAATAATCATAAAACTGCACTAAAAAAAAAAAAATTCAAACTGTAACTTTTGAACTTTAATAGTAATCACAACCAAACTAGCCTATAATCATGTGATGCTAATAAATAGAAACACACCCCTCTCTCAAATATAGCATCAAAAGCATGCCCCAAACTATCAAAACTATATTATAAAATAAAATGAATCAACTAATAGAATCAAATAAACATTTCTTAGATCATTGCTTAATATGATGCTTTCTATGAGAATAAATATGCATATTTCCAACAATTATGCCCTAGTTGATTACATTTGGATTTGGTGAATTTAACATTTGATACTCATCATACAAAACCTGAATAATTTATTTTTTTATTGTAAAGTAACCCATAAGTCATCACAAGCACGTCTATATCACCAATGAACAAGACATTCTTAGAATCCACCATCAACATTTGACACAATCTCATCTTTCGGAAGAACTACAACAAAAGATATATAGAATTTTTGGACAGAGGATTCATTACAGATTCATAAGGAGATAAAACGAGGGAATAATCTATGGAATTGACAGCAGATACATGAAAACAAAAAAATCAAATCTGACATTAAAATTTGATTAATGCAAAAATTCCTTGAAATTTATAAGTTGTAGACATCAGTTCCAATGTGCTGCAAGATTTAAAATAGTATAGTTTATAGTGATTTCCTGTGTTTGGGTCTGTTTATGCTTAATCTTTTGAATTGTTTTCTTTTCTTAACTTGGTAAAAGTAGCGAATGTTCAACTTTGAGCAAGTGAACATTGTATTTGATCTTTGGAACATTTGGTAAATTCTTTTGATCTTGTCATATGAAAAAAGATTCATGATATCAAGACTCCACAAAGGGTAGTCTTTCTTTATAGCTTACATGGCTGTTTGTAAGGTTATTTTATGTAGCACAACTCGTAGAATATGGTACATGGGACTCAGTCTTGAGATGCAAAGTATATATAAATCTAACATAAATTATATTTGTATCCATTATTGTACAAACCAAATATGATATGTTGTTTTTTTTTTCCAGATTTCATGAAATCAAGTTTAATCTAAGAGTCATTACATGTTTTAATTAATTTTGTTAGCTAGTTTTATCTTGTTATCAATAGGATTTCATTTTTTCTCTTACTATCATTGTTCAATATTGAAATGAATGGAACGTCCCTATGTATTTGAAGCCATTGATTTTTCCAAGTTTGAACTTGTGGAAGAGTAGGTGAGTCCAACAGCGTTGGTTAATTTTGACCTCATTTTCTTTATTATTTCCATCTAGTAATCTATTCGCTTCTATTATTTTGTTATTTATTGTGATTCTGAAATTGAGTCTCTTAAAATTGTTTATATTCTGAGTTTTGTGCAGATGATGCTTCATTCTATTGTAGAATTCAGCTTGCTAATTTCAGTTCTCTTAATTGATACCTATTGTATTTTTATGATATCGTGATTTTGGTAGATATTCTTTGGTGAATAATTCATTACCTATTTCATGCAATTTTGTTTATTTATTTATTCTCAACTTTGAATCGTAGATGGTTGTTTGCGTTTGGATAGTTTAATTACAAACCGGTTTTGTTTAACAATTATCCATCCCTTTTTCAATAAATAAGAATGGCATAAAACCTTAAGTTGTAGTTACATTGTTTTGTTGTGTAGATTGCATTCATTATTTCACATTACATTTGCAACATTAGTGACTGTAGACTTTGATACGCTGTAGATCACTCTAACATGAACACCACGATCTTATGATTAAAGTCCTTCAGTTTCATCAGTCAAAACAAAATTGGGGGCAGATTCCATTCTTTGGAATTAAAAAAGCATCATTGGTTACTTATTGTTAAAATATAATTTTTCTTGCTTAATTCTTCAACAATTTTAAATTATTGAAACAACTGATTATGCATCTGCAGAGAAACATGAGAGAAATGGTTGAATTAGGTCTATCTGCAAAACAGCAGAAGGCTGATAAATTCTTGCAAATTAAAAAAGAGGTTCTTGAAATGATAAAAGCTCGTGTATCTCTTCTGGTCTCCAAGGTAGGCCTATTATGTCCTGGATTTTTCTTTTAGAGGTGTGCAAAAAAAATTGGAATGCATTTAGCCTTATTAACTTGTGAAATAATAAGTGTGACTTAGTGAATGAAGGACTGTTTATTTACTGTATTTCTCTTGGAATTTGATTGCCTACGCTTAACTTTTTCTTTCATTTAATAGGCGCCTGACCATCAAGATGGGTTGAAGGACGATTTCCAGGATGTAGTTAGAGCCGACGAAAGGAGAGCGTTGAGAGGAAAATATTGTATGGATGTAGCATTGGAAGACAAAATCTGTGACCTCTACGATTTGCATGTTGAGGTATCGTCAAATTTTAAGAAAAAGTATATAAAATTTTTTGAATGAACTTCTAGTTAGGATGTTGTTCCTTTTTAAAATCATATTTCCCTTTAAATTCTATATTTACATTAATATGGGTGATACTCCTTTTGAAATGGGTAATTTGACTTATGTGCCCTATAATACATGAAATTGGAGAAATATGCTTGCTATTTATTTTCTTGGGGAAATATACTCCAAAGATTATTTCTGATCAAACTATGCTTATTTTTTGCAAATAGAGTAGAATGGCTTGTTGAATAGTTATGTGCTTTTTCAATCATATGAGCTGCTAGGCATTTCTTCTTCATAGCACTTTCATTTTTTATGATTATAGTGCATGCATTTGGGCTACGACAAAATTTTATGGTGATGTTCTCACCATTCATCATCTTTGATGGTTAATGATTTTATATGTTAGGTTATTTAGGTTTGAATATAGTTTTTGCACTCTAAAATCTCTTCCCAAAGAAACTAGACATCAATTACCTTAAGATGGTTTGAATCATGGTTCAAACCATGATCGAACCATATTTGAACAATGATTGAAATTATAGTTTGATCGTGTTTGAAGATGAATCAAAGATGGTTTGGTTTTGGTTCGAAAATGATTCTATGATCATTCAATTGTATTTTGATGATTTTTTTAATCATGTTTGAAGATAATTCAATTATGGTTTGAACAAGATTTGATGGTTGTTTCAATTATGGTTCTATCTTGGTGTGAAGATGGTTCAAGCATAGTTTGAAGATAGTTTGATCAATGTACGAAAATGGCTTGTTTATACTTCAAATATGATTAGAGCATGATTCAATTATTGTTAAAACTATGATCGAAAATGGTTTGATCATGATTCAAAGATGATTTGATCATTGTTTGGCTATGTTTTATCCTTCATTATCTATTTTGAAAATTAACTCATTTGAGTACTTTTCTATGTTTTTAGATCTGTACTCACATCATATCAATCCGCAAGCAATATAGTGCGTGGGTCACATAAAGCTAGGTAGGGCTGCATATGAAATGAGCATATATGATTAGAGCATATAGATAATGAGCATATATGAGAAGCTAGTTGTGGCTTGGCTTGATTAGAGTTTGAGCTAATCAAATAAACTTGAATATTTTTATGAGAACTTGACTGTTAAATGAATAAAATTGAACAACTTATCGCTCGACTTATTTTGGGATCTAAAAATTCGTGCACGACCTCCCCTCTTTCAGGAGAGTTTTAATAACAGTGTTCTGAGCCAAATTTTTAGATGGCAGATTAAGTGTGGAATAAAGATAAAGAACTACCTAGAGATTTCATCTTCATTTGATGAAGACTTTATAATCTAGTTCTAATTTTCTCATAGGCGCAAGCACCTTTGATTAATTACGCCTCACATGCCTATTTAAACTACTATTGAACCTTGCTCATATCATGTTTGAATGGGATTCCAAACTTTGAAATATATTTGAATAGTCTTCAGTCATAGTTCTAACAAGGTTTAAATATAGTTTGAATAAGATACAAACCTTGCTCAATTATGATTCCATGCTAGTTTGAATAAAGTTCGAATATGGTTCTAGCTTAGTTCAAATCTTGCCTGAATTTATTTTAAACTTTGTTCAAACTTGTTGTTCAAGTGGATTTCAAATAAGTAGCGTGCAGTCAAAAGTGAGGGTATTTTGGGCTGAGCAATCTTTTTGACATATTTTTTCCATGAAACAAGTAGCAAGCATATTTTTCTAATTCCCGCTATTATGGGGACATATAAAGTCCAATTTCCCTTTGAAATCTGACATGCATCTATTTTGAAATGACATTTTTTTTTATCATCTTTCCTTTTATCATTCAGTTTATTAATTTCTGGAATTATTGTCGTCTTAATTATTAGGGAATGGATGAAGACAAAGGTCCTCAGAGTAGAAAGCTGTATGTAGAGGTAATTTATTTAAGTTGAATATGATGTATATTTATATTGTTTGATTGCCATATTTTTGGCTTCTATGGTATAGACTTTTTTTTTCCAATCTGCCATTGTGCATTTCCATGTTTTATTTTCTCTACTTAACGCAACATATTTTTTATATTTAAAAACTATTTTATTTCCATGCTTCAGCTTGCAGAGCTGTGGCCGGCTGGTTACATGGATAATTTCGGGATCAAGGATGCAATATACAAGGCTAAGAAACGTAGACGGCATAAGGTGTTGCTATATTGCTATTCCTATCTTTGTTAATGTTCCATTTTGCTACGTTGATTTCAAACAATTGTGCTAACTCGTCCTATTGCATTTTCATTTGAAAATATCCGTGCTATCAATTTATTATATTCATATTGGCCATGTCGTTTTTTGTTAAATTGAGCCATCTTTTTAATCATCATCAAATTGGGAAAAATGATGGAATAATTTACTTCATAGGCTTAATTAATTAGAGGGATGATTATACTTGGATTTGATGCCCAAAAACTTGGTTAGTATACTTGATTAGTTGAAAACTTGGTAGGATAAGTTCTTATTAGTACTATCTTAATAATCTTTGCAATTTTATTCTTGCTACTCTTATCCTAAGGTGGATTATTCATGTATATTGCCTCTGACCATTTAGATTTAATTTAGTTTCAGGCTCGTGATGAAGAGAGGATTGAGAGGAAGGCAATGAAGTCAGAGGAACCACAAGCTGGTCAAGGAAGGCTTGTTGTGGATCCTCCAGTTCAGGTTCCTGCTCCTCAGGACAAGCACCCTATGTTGCTAGGTAGAATGAGTGATCCAACTGCATATCTAAGTGATAGCGCACAAAATAATGGATACACTTCCAAACAACACGAGAGATCTAGAGGGAACGGCACAGGCACAGTTTCAGATGGTGGAAGCAAAGCAGCTTCTGTAGATGTGAAGAAAAGGCTAAAGAGGAAGTCGGAAGCAGATGCGGTCTTTCATGCTCATCCACAGAAGATGCAGGCACAGTCTAGAAAGGAAAAACAGAATTCAATTAATTCAAATAGGCCCAGTGATAATTCAAACCTGATTCTCCAACAACCAGAGTCCAATCAAGTTCCTGCTGCAACAACTTAAGACCAACCAAGTTGATCATTGATGCCTGTATAGTTTGAGATGATAACATAGGACTAAGTTTCAATATAGTTTCTGCGTGGTTGAGAGTTCATTAATTCATTTCTTTGTAAACAACCCCTTCCATGCAAATGTGACCAAGATGAGAATCGTTAAATCTATACCAGTCATCAGAGCCTTACAAACAACTACGTTGTTTTTGCCGACTCTTAAACGTTTTCTTATCGAAGGCTGGCGGATTAACACGCTTTTGTTATGTTATGGTTGATTCACAGGAATGTGCTATTATACTATGCGGGATTTGCATGCATACCATAGTTTTTATGATTGTGTTTATATTCCAAACATTTATATTTTACTATTTTAATCACATCATTAAAATGTTTGTATATATAAATATATTTTATTTAAAAATGTTAATATTAGTAATAATTTATATATGATACAAAGATTTAAATGTTACGGAAGAATATTAAATTTACATATTAGATTAATAAATATATAAAAATTATGTGATATGTTTTGAAAACCTCTTTTATACTACTGCCACGCTGAGAAAGTGTTGTGTGTGGTCACCGAATGGTTTAGAGATAGAATTTAAAAAGTGATGTGATGCATTCTGATTTATCTCTAGATGCTGTTCGGAGATTGTAGAGAATAATTTCACCTTCAGCAGAGTATAATTCATATGGTTACCATTATTTGGGATCCTCAATTTTAGGAGATACATGGAAAATTTATTTCTGCTTTGCCTCTTGTCGCTTAAATTTGTTGAGACGCTTGTAGAATGCTCGCAAGCCATTAGATAGAATTGGTTAATGCGTAACAAATTAATAAAATTAAAAAAGATAACCTGAACCTGATCTATTATATCTCTTTTTTGGGGGGAAATTTTAGGGCTAACCCCTTTATAACTGATGAAAAAATACAATAGTTTTTATTTATTTTTTTTTATTTTTTATTTTTTATAGTGGAAATTCATGATGGGGCCTACGCGTTCATTAAAGAAACAATTACAAAGTCCTTGAATGGAATTCAAGCTCACTACTACTTAGAAGAGTTACAAAAAATAAAAATCAAATAAATCATAAGAGCTCGGGTTCCCTGCTAAGCAAAATTACAAAAAATCCTAGATAAATTCTACGATGTGTAAGAGAGAGCACCCCAAAAAATACAAAGTAATGAAAACTGGCAGTCAGCTCTAGCTTCTCCACCAAAAAATCACTACCACGATCATCTACACTAGTCACATTCTGCAAAAAAGAATTACACAAACAAACAAGAGTAGCACAAGTAATAAAAGATATTAGGATGAAAATACCCATAACCACTAAAAGGTAAGCAACTAGGACCAAAGGGATACCATCCCATACTCCACCATCTCAGATACATAAAATAGAGCATAAGGATCATATCAATAATCTACAACCAAGCTAAGGAAAAAGACATACAGGATCCACACACCCAACCAAGAAGAGAACACCCGACAACTCTTGCTATAAATAAGATCATAGAAAAAGATAAGGAAAACCAAGATCCAGAAACACCTTAGCACACTAACATCCCAGCAGAAAAGAACCCAAGAAAACCCAACACAGGCATAGAGAATAGCAACCAACCCGACCCCAGCAAGCTGACGACCACAACAGAAAAGTACAAACCCATACTCAGAAAAATCTAGAAAAACACACCAACAACCTGGCAACAAAAAATACCACTCCAAGGAACAAAATACTCCAACCAAGAATAAAGAACCACAAAATGCTCCGAGGAAAAAGGCACAAAGTCCAGCCACCCGAAAACATCAAACCAACCAACCAGGCAACAATAATGGGAAAGCTACAAAAGATAACACCCAGTTCAGTCCTTGAAACTAACAGCCCAATAGACCCAAACAAGCTGACAGGCCACAACAGAAAGCGCCCAGGAAATGGAACACCCCATAGCAGACAAGACAATCATATGAAAGATTTTGGAGGCCACTTTTTTAAGTTTAAAGGAATGCCAAGCATCCTTAAGTCTAAAGTTACCATATTTAGTCAAAGCAGAAAATTGAACATCATTAGAATTAGTATTCAGAGGGATGTTCAAAATTTGTTGAAAAATAGAATTAGGAATTAAATTAGAAAGTTTCTCCAAATCCCAACCATTACCAGTAAAAAAATAATTAACCTTCACAGTAGAATTGGAGGAAGTATTAGTAATAGAATCAATAGATTGGCCCCCCAACCAGCGATCCTGCTAAAAGAAAATATTGCCACTACTAAGGCCCCAAAAAATAAAAGGCTCAACAACCCATTTAACTTTGCATAAATGCTGCCAAACTTTAGAATTACCTTTACTAAAACAACATGTGATAGGATGCTTTCCCCCACAATATTTGGAAACTATAAAATTAGCCTAAAGGCTCAAATTTGCACGAAAATTATACCATAACTTAAAATAGAATGCATAAGCCAAATCATTCATAGACTTACACCCCCAGCACACCTTCATCCAAAGTACCACAACATTTATCCCATGAAGACCAGTGGATTTTAGAAGTGCTACTAGCCCCTTTCCAAAAAAAACTTATTGATAATTCTATCAATCGTGTTACAAACCGTCTAAGTAGGAAGAAAATTTTGAAAACTATAAATAGGTATAAAACAAAGGACATTCTTGATAAAAATTAACCGACCACCAAAGCTTAAAAAATTAGAACCCGAAGACAAAAGTCTGTTCTGCACCAGCGTAATTAAATCATCAAACAGAAAGGTCTTCTTTCTACCCTTATAAAGAGGTGCACCAAGGTACTTTAAAGGCAAATGGCCATAACTAAAACCAGTTAAATTCTTAATAGTCACAATATGATCAAAAGGGACTTTCTTAGCAGAAACAAAGCAACACTTATGTTTATTAAGAGTCAAACCACTCATCGATTCAAATTGGTGAAAAAACCTCAAAAGTCTATGTATCCTATTCATCGAAGCATTCATAAAAATGATAAAATCATCATCAAAACATAATTGAGATATATGAAAACCATCGAACATTTTTGAAGTAAAGGCTATGGTATTTCTCAAAAATATCTACAAGACCTCTAGACAGGTATTCAACCACAATAATGAAAAGGCCCGGAGAAATGGGACACCCTGTCTCAGCCCATGAGAAGCCTTAAAAAAACCATTACTCTTACAGTTCACAATGATAGAAAAAATAAGGCTTTCAATGTGAAGTTTAATAAGGCTGATAAAATTTAAATTAAAATCAAATAACTTCATAATATCATAAAGGAAAAACCAATTAATGTTATCATAAGCCTTGACAATATCATGTTTCAGAATCATATTACCACCTCTCACCTTGACATTCAAATCTTGAGATATATATTGAGCCAAGAGGATATTATCAACAATAACATGCCCTTTAACAAAGCCAATTTGGAAAGAGGAAATAATCTTAGGCAGAAGAACCGTTAAATGATTTGTCAAAATTTTATAAAGCAATTTGTAAATAAAGGTGCAAAGACTAATAGGTCTAATATCATTCCAAGTACTAACATACTTATTTTTAGGGAATAAGCACAATAGAAGTAGAAGTAAAAACTTAGGAATAGAATTATCATCAAAGAAATCAATAACAAAAAAAAAGATCATTACCAATAATATGCCACATTTTCTAAAAAAACTTCGTTGTGAAGCCATTCAGCCCAGCAATTGATTCACCATTCATACCAAAAATAGTATCTTTAACCTCATCCAAAGAAGAATGTTTAAATATGTAAACATTATCCTCACAAGAAATAATAGTAGGGATGATAGAAGGATCGTTAATAATAGAAGAATTAAATGTTTTATTAAGATGATTATGAAAATGTTGAACAGCTAAATTAGCAATTTCAACACCATCTTCAGTAACAGAGACATCAACACGTTTAATTTTGTGGATATAATTAATAGCACATTTGCTCTTAACCAATTAATGAAAATATTTAGTATTATTATCACCTTCAACCAGATGTTTGACAATGACTTTTTACTTCCAATAAGTTTCGTCATGAGCTTGTAATTTAAAAAGGCCATATTTAGCCTCTCTCAACAAATAAAAATTAGCTTCAGAAGGCAACAATTGATACTAATTCTCATAAGAATACACTTTATCTTTCATAATTAAAATGTTAGAAAAAAGATTCTTAAAAATATTATGATTCCACCATTTAAAATAAGCTTAAGCCTGTGGGCTCCGAAAATTCGGCCCCGGCCTCCGCTCGCTCTTTCTTTTTATTCGGCGAGGGAGTTTTAACTGAATAAGTTCCTAAGTAAATTTTGGAAGGCAGATGGGTTTGTAGATAAGACACTACCCAGAGATTTCGCCCTCATTTTGTGAGGACTTTATGATCTGAGTTCTGGTTTCCTATAGGCGCAAGCCCCTATAGTTAATTACCCCTCTCGATCACGAGAGAGAACTTTCGATTAAGGCTAGTCGTCAATCAGATACATAGAATATACGTGTTATCTGGCATATAGTAGCAGCAATGGGTTTAGGTATTGGAAGAAATTGGATTTGGGATTGAGAATTTGGAGAGTTTGTTATTTAAAATAGAAATTGCACATCTATCACTTAAAACGGATGGTGGGGGAATGGATGATGGACCCGATCAAGATCCCATGGTTCCGTCATCCCGGGCCATCATGGTCCCTGGTCTACTTAGTCAGAGGAGGTAGTCGACCCAACCTGACAGAAGGATCCTTGTCGGCAGCCATGGGTTGCTTCGTCCAAGGGAACCTTGTAGACCGGGGTTGAATGTTTGTCTAAGGGGATAAATTTAAATCCACCTTAGCTAACAGAGGGCTTTGTGCCCTATCGATCATATCCTATTGATTCATATCTCAAGGATTTAACGCCATTAAGGAGCGTATTGGCTCTGGCCATAACCG